CCCTGCCTGCCCTGATAGACTGAACCTGTCAGTCTGTGCCAAACCAACCTCCTTGGCTCCCCTGACTGCCCGCGATGACCAGGAACCTGTCATGCTGCTGCCAAACCTTAGCCAGAACGCCTTAGCTTCCCTGCCTGGCCATATGGACCGGGAACCTGTCCATGTGCGGCCAGAACCCCACATGCTTAGCTCCCGGCTTGTCCCTGACTAGACAGGGAACTTGTATGTCTGTGGCAGGAACACCATCCTCTACACTACCCTGCCTGCCCCTGACTGGAACCAGAGCCTGTCATTCTGCGGCCAGAACCCCACCTCCTTGGCTCCCCTGACTGCCTCTTTCTGGCCTGAGAACCGGACAGTCTCGGACTACAACCCCACCTCTTGGATCCCCTGCCGGCCCTTGATGGAACTGGAACCTGTCAGTCTGGGGCCAGAAACCCCCTCCTTGTCTCCCCTGCCTGCCGCTGATGGGACTGGTAGCTTGCCAGTCTAGGGCCAGAAACGCCGTCTTTGGCTCCCCTGCCTGCCCCTGACAGGACCGGGAACCTGTCAGTCTGCGGCAGGAACCCCAAGTCCTTAGCTCTCCTGCCTGCCCCTGACTGACCCAGAACCTGTCACTCTGCGACAGTTCCTGATCCAGTCAGGGGCACTCAGTGGATCCTAAGGGAGTGGTTTTTCTCCGCCATATCTGAATGTGAAAGTCCAGCTGGGTGCAGAAACTAGGGAAGAACCAGTGCACACATCTGGTCAGATGGCAAGTGTGTGACATTCAAGATGGTTTACAAAGTGGCCCACAGTGATCTCTCCCTACCTCTTCATGTAGCGTGCCTTCAGACACTAACCTGGCTCACAACTTGAAGTCTATAAAGGACGGAGACCCTCAGCTATCACTGAGTGGCTCAGAGGACACTGCATGGCTTGTGCTCAATCACTTGTGTCCCTGTTCAAGCACAGTTTATGAAAATAATCATACAAGCCGGCGCCGCGGCTCACCAGGCTAATCCTCCACCTGCGACGCCAGCACACCGGTTTTAGTCCCGGTCAGGGCACCGGATTCTGTCCCGGTTGCCCCTCTTCCAGGCCAGCTCTCTGCTGTGGCCCGGAGTGCAGTGGAGGATGGCCCAAGTGCCTGGGCCCTGCACCCCATGGGAGACCAGGAGAAGTACCTGGCCCCTGCCATTGCATCAGCGCGGTGCGCCGGCCGCGGCGGCCATTGGAGGGTGAACCAACGGCAAAGGAAGACCTTTCTCTCTGTCTCTCTGTCTCTCACTGTCCACTCCTGCCTGTCAAAAAAAAAAAAAAAAGAGGCTATCAGCAAAACCAAGACTCGTTCAAGGTGGTGAAGACCGCGCGTACGTTTCGGGAGTCTTATTTCAAGTTTTAATTCTTCTGCCAACACACTCATGGTAATCCCAGGCTAGTTGCTCTCGTTTCTGAATCGACGTGTCACCCACTGCGCCTCCCTCGTCTGGGCACTTCATCACTCACTCACTGAAGTTGCTGTTCAGAGTGTCTGCTGTGTCCTGTTCTCTCCTGCTCTAAAGTCACTGAGGAGACAGTACTGACGACGAAGCTGCAAACCCTTTCAAGAAGCAAACGTGTCTATACACGACCATGTTTTCAAGGCATTTCCGATGGATCTGACTGCCTGTCAAAAAAAAAAAAAAAACTGAGATATTGGGGGTCTTGGTATTAGAAGATGAGCAAACTTTGTAGTTATGAATCTGCCTTGTCCAACGTGCTCTACACGCCACGTTGATGACCCTCCTCTCCCTGAGAGAAGAGCCAGCCTGAGCCATGGAGTGAGTGGAGAGAAAACCAGGTTAAAGGATTACACAACGCAGAACCGGTCAAGTCGGTTTTTCCCATCGAGAGACAGAAACTAGAGTGACCTCCCTGGAGCTCTCAAGGTCACGTCTGGGTGCCTGGGCACGAAAAAAGCTAAAAAAATCCAGGTTCTGGAACATTCTAGGACATTCTAGAATGTTCCGGGATCCCTAGAATTTTTCCGAGGTGTTCTAGAATGTACCAGAACATCACCAAGTGAGTCTGGGGGGATTCTGGGATACGGGTCTGAGTAGAAGTTTCCCGGCGGGTGTGACGGGTGTCCTGGTGCCGGCCTGGCCCTGCGGACATTGACGTGACATCCCGCGCCCACCGGGGCTGCGGAAACTTCCAGCACGTCGGCAGAGGGTCTCAGACCCCCCAGGACGCTCGCTGGGTTCTCTGGAACATACTGGAACATTCTACAACATTTCAAGACCCCAAAGACACTCACCAAGCGGTCCAGGGCATCCTACGAACATTCTAGAAAATTCTACGTCATCCGCCAGTATTCCGGAACACTCCAAGACCAGGCGCTCTAGAATACTCTAAGGCCCCGAGGACGTGCGCCGGGCTCTCTGGACGTGTTCTGGAACATTCTGGAACATTCACAGAATTCCTCGCATTCCAAGGACATTCCTGGGCATTCTAGAACATTCTGGAATCCTGGAAACACCCACCAGGGGTTCTGGAAAATTCCAAGGCCCAAGAACGCACGACAGACTCTCCCAGAATTCCCTGGGAGCACTGACCGTTCCGGAACGTCCCTGGTGTCCACCAGGATGTTTGCACAACCTTCGGCCCGCCAACTCCTCCCCCAGCCCTGGCAATAAATAGACGCCGGGTCCCCCCGGCTCAGACGACACGAAGACGATGGTGATGAAGATGACGGTGACGAAGGCTCTCCTCCTCGCCCTCACGGTGGGCGTGGCCTGTGCGGACATCGACCCTGCCCAGGTATCAAATTTGCATCATTAGTTCCCAGTATTAATTCTCGTCATGAATTCATATCATTTCTTCACATCATTACTTCGCATCACTAATTCGCATCACTACTTTGCGTTGTTTCTTCAGCCGTATCATTAATGCGCGTCATTTCTTCACCTCCCTGAAAGGAGCGGCCGAGAGCCGCCATAAAATGGCCTTAATAAAACAGTCCTGGGAAATGGGGAGTAAACTAAGTTCACAGAGAAAGCAGATAGCTACTAGCCAGAGATAAGGGCTACTAGCCAGAGATAAGGGCGACAGAACATCCTGGTATGCACATAAGCCCCCTCCCCTGTGCTTGTTCAAGCTTAACAAAGAAACCGCGAGACACGTAGGGCACGTAGCCACCCCTTTCTGCTCTTCAAGGACCCCTCCCCTTGTCCAAGCTTAGACACGTAGGGCACGTAGCCCCGGTTTCTGTTCTCTCCTCCTCCTCGATGACCTCCTCCCCTTGTAGTTACCCAATAAACTTACGCCACCCTATGGTATGTTAATTTTGTGGTTTTGCCCCTTAAAAGCTGTGTGAGATAGCTGCTCGGGGCTCCTCTCGCTTGCTTGCTGCTTGCAGCAGTAGGGGGCCCATTTGCGCAAATGAAATAAAAATTACCTCCTGCTCTATTGCATCGTCTGGTCTGGAGTCTGTGTTTCTGGGGTCGTCACAAGAGGACACCGCTTTTGGGGTCCTACACTCCCCAGCTCTCCGGGCCCTGGCGCACCTCCGCCATGGCCTCCGACAACCTGGAAATGATCCTGGAGGATGGGCCACTCCGGATGCTGTTCCGCGAGATGGAGTGCAACGAGGACTGCAACGCCCTGAACGTCTTCTTCTATGTCAAGTGAGGGGCGGGGCCAGGGGAGACAAGCCGAGGCCAGAGACAGAGAGCCAGGGGGGAGCAATCGAGCCCAGAGAGCGGGGAAGACAGGCGCCGCCAAGCCAAATCGATCCCAGAGAGAGACAGAGCAGGCCAGGGCGACCAGCCGAGCCCAGAGAGAGAGATAGCAGACAGGAGTAGTTGAGCCCAGAGTCAGAGAGCATGTGGGCTAGAGGGGAGTAATGGAGCTGAGAGTGAGCAGACAGGAGTAGTTGAGCCCAGAGTCAGAGAGCATGTGGGCTAGAGGGGAGTAATGGAGCTGAGAGTGAGCAGACAGGAGTAGTTGAGCCCAGAGTCAAAGAGCAAGCCAGGGGGGAGCAGCCGAGCCCAGGGAGAGTGAGCAACAGGAGTAGTTGAGCCCAGAGTCAGAGAGCATGTGGGCTAGAGGGGAGTAATGGAGCTGTGAGCAGACAGGACCAGCCGATCCCAGAGTCAAAGAGCAGGCCATGGTGGACCAGCCGAGCCCAGAGAAAGAGTAGACAGGAGCAGTTGAGCCCAGAGTCAGAGAGCAGGTGGGCTAGAGGGGAGTAATGGAGCTAAGAGTGCAGACAGGACCAGCCGATCCCAGAGTCAAAGAGCAGGCCATGGTGGACCAGGCGAGCCCAGAGGGAGAGCAGACAGGAGCAGTTGAGCCCACAGCGAGCGGCCATGTTCCCGGTCTCTCCTTCAGGAAGAACGAGGTATGCACCCCGCACACGGTTGTGGCCCAGAAGAACGCAGACGGCATCTACACCACTGACTGTGAGTACAGAGCATTTCGGAAAGTTCCAGACAATTCCAGACGACCCCAGGGAATGTCCTGTGTTCCAGAATGTTCGAGAATGTTCCCAGAAATGTTCCAGGATGCTGCAAATGTCCCAGATGCTCCAGTTCCTCAATGTTCTAGAATGTTCCAGAATGCGCTAGAATGTCCCAGCATGCCCCGGCACATCCAGAACACCCACCTCTCTCCCTACAGTCGAGGGCCAGACCTCCTTCCAGTTCCACGAATTGGATCCCGCTAGGCTCTTCGTCTTCATCAATAAAATGGGGTCCAGCGGCACCACCAGCCGCCTCAGCTTCCTCACTGTGAGCCCCCCTCACACACACATGTACACTGCCGGTGCCCGCTAGGGATACGCACCACGACCCGAGAGTCTGAGCCCGACTGTATATAGGGAAAGGGGGGATACAGTCGGTGCCCACTGGATAAAGCGAGTGTATACAGTCAGTGCCCACTAGACATGGTGGGCATATACAGTCGGTGCCCACTAACGCTAGCATATACAGTTGGCGCTCGCTAGATGGGGTGAGCGTATACAGCCACTAAAGTGAGTGTATGCAGTAGGCTCACACTAAAGCAAGCGTACTCAGTCGGCACCCACTCTTGCCACAGTCAAATTGAGAGTCATAAATGACGACCGGCTGGAGGACTACGCGAGGCTCACGGAGCAGAATGGGATCCCGCGGAAGTACATCCGGCGTGTGGGCGACACAGGTGAGGCCTTGGCGGCTTCCGGGCTGACTCGGCGCTGACTCGGCGCTGACTCGGCTTTCCTCTCTCTCCAACAGACACCTGTCCACCCTGAGGACGCCTCCCTTGGAGAAGGTGCCAGAACGTTCTAGACCATTCCAGAACCGCCCCTCCTGCACAATGATTCCTCCCCTGATCGCCTCACCATCTCCTCCCACCTGCGAACGCGCTAGTATGCTCCGGAACATTCTAGAGCATTCTGGATTGATCCAAGATGGTCTGGATTGTTCCAGAATTTCTAGAAAGCTTCGGAACATTCTAGAATCGGCCGTCCCCGCTTTCTCTGCTTCCTGTTGCAGGGAATAAACTCATCCCAGGCACAGTCCCAGGTCGTTTATTTTAAACGATTTTTATTGTTCCGTCAAAAGACAGAGCGAGCTGGTGGAGGAACCCAGGGGCTACCTCCGGGTCTCCCTGCACTGTCAGGTCACCGTTCACTGACAGGGGGTGGGGCTCTGTCATCTGGTTGCTGTCAATCAGCCATGAGTGACACTGGGGGGGTTCTCCCCGACTCCACTGCAGCCAGTCACACTCCACCGGATCCCGGAGCCACATCCGGGTTCCCATGCCCACATCCGGGTCTCCAGGGCAATATCCGGCTCCCCAGGGCTCCACTCATGTCCGCAGTGACACAGCCAGGTCCCCAGGGGCACATCCTGGTCCCCAGGGCCACATCCGGGTCTAAGTGCTCCATCCGGGTCTCTGGGCTCCATCTGGGTCCCTTAAGGGCTCCATCCGGTCTCTGGGCTCCATCCGGGACTCCTGGCTCCATCCGAGTCTCTGGGCTCCATACAGGTCTCTGGGCTCCATCGGGGTCTCTGGTCCTCCATCTGTATCTCTGGGCTCCATCTGGGTCCCTAAGGAAACATCCTGGTCCCTAAGGCTCCATCCGGGTCTCGTGTGCGCCTTCAGGGTCACTAAGGCTACATCCGGGTCCTTAAGGTTTTCTTCCGATCTTAAGGCTCCATCCAGGTCTCTGGGCTCCATCCAGGTCTCTGGACCACATCCGGGTCTCTGGGCTCCATCCGGGTTTCGGGGCTCCAACCGTGTCCCTAAGGCTGCATCCAGTCTCTGTGCTCCATCCGAGTCTCTGGGCTCCACCCCGATCTCCAGGGCCACATCCAGGTCCCCAGGGCCACATCCGGGTCTCCAGGGCCACATCCGGTTCCCCAGGGCTCCATCCGGGTCTCCAGGGCCACACCAGGGTCTCCAGGGCCACACCAGGGTCTCCAGGGCACATCCGGATCTCCAGGGCTCCCTCCAGGGCCATATCTAGGTCCCAGGGCTCCACCCAGGGTCTCTGGGCTCTCTCCAGGTCTCTGAGCTACATCCGGGTCCCTAAGGCTCCATCCTGGTCTCTGGGCTCCATCCTGGTCTCGGGGCTCTGCCCGAGTCTCTGGGCTCCATTCGGGTCCCTAAGGCTCCATCCGCATCCCTAAGGCTCCATGCGGGTCTTTGAGCTCCATCCAGGTCCCTAAGGATCCAACCGGGACTCCTGGCTCCATCTGAGTCTCTGGGCTCCATACGGGTCTCTGGGCTCCATCCTGGTCTCGGGGCTCTGCCCGAGTCTCTGGGGCTCCATCTGGGTCCCTAAGGCTCCATCCGCATCCCTAAAGGCTCATGCGGGTCTCTGGGCTCCATCAGGTCCTTAAGGCTCCATCTGAGTCTCTGGGCTCCATTAGAGTCTCTGGGCTTCCATCCGGGTCTTTTGGGC